AGAAACCTATGGAAAGTACCGTGTCCATGGACGGCCAGAAGGAGCAGCAGATCCGTCTGGGAAGCAGTCCAGCCAGAAGGCTCCTTAGAGGCGAGGACGGAGAGACTTCCTCTCACGTAGTTTGTACACGTCGTCAGGAGAGACCAGTCCCTGGAGAAGGGCATCGTGCTTGGCAAAGTAGAGGGGCAGCGAGAGAGAGGAAGACCCCATACGAGATGGGTCCACACAGCGTCTGCCACAATGGGCTCAAACCTAACCCTTGGGGGGCCGTCACGGGCGGGGTCAGGCCGTGTTTCCTTCTGTTGTTTGTACACGAGTGTGAGACACGCTGTGGAGTTCCCGGACACGATGGTCGTGGTTCCTCTCGGTGACTGGCAGGTTGGCATGAATCCCTGACTCAGAACCTCACCCCATGGGTCTCTAGAGAGAGAACTGGGGCGGACCCCCTTCTCCTGCCTGGGGGCTCTCACGGGCGCGGGACCACCGAGCCCTCAAGACATCCAGTCTGTGCTCACTGTAGCGACAGCGAGGCTTTTATGGGTGGAATTTACAAAATCGGGTGCTCAAGCCCAGAGACAAACTGGGCAGACGCAGGTGTGCCACACAGTCTATCCCAAGCACGATAGCCCGCAGTGCGCAGGTCCCCCCACCCCCGGTTCCTCACTGGCTGAGTGCTGTGGGATGAATCATCTTTCCAGAACCCCTACTTCTTCCTTAATGTAAAGTTCCTTCCTCTGGAGCAGATCCCCGCCCCACCCCCACCACCCCCTTTTCTGACTTCAGCCGGTTCCCACAGTCCATGCCCCAGGTGGCTGGGCTCCAGGGACTGTCATACCAGCGGTCAACTGGTGCCCGGCTACTTAGCCGCTTCCTGAGCCTTTGTTGCTGAACATGGACTTATTTCTCACAACGGGCTGCTAGGAGTCAGAGCCGACTTCAGGGCAACGATCCGTAGAGAGTCGGTCGCTAGTGGTGTGGTCCTTTCGATGGATGAACAGGAACAGCTGTAAACGTCTTTGCAGAAAAGCTTTTGTATCAGAGACAGGAGGGATCTTTGCTGACCATCTGGGCCGAACTGGAGGCAGCTCTCCTCTGTTGACATCTCTTCATTTTGAGGGGTGGGGGGGTCTCCCTGTTCTCTGTGTCCCTGCTTCAGCTGTCTGACTGCTCCTCCGGCCTTCCCAGATTTCCAGGGAGACTGCTCAGGACCTACGGCCCCTGCCTGTCTCCTTGAGATTTCGCCTTGGTGGGGTGGTGGGCGGTCAGAAAGTGAGTGTGGGGGACTCAGGCTGGCATTAGGATATTGCAAGGCTCAGGATGAAGCCAGGGCGCTGGCTGGGGTGCCTTTGGGTTTAGGCACTAGCACATGTCTTAGCTCTCCGGTGCTGTGG